AGAGAATGCCGCTCGACCGGGGGGCAGTGGGGGCAGCGGGGGCAACGGCAGGAGCAGCGGAAGCAGCAAGCGCGGGACACACGACCAGCAACCAACAACAGTCAACCCAAGACAGCCCTGAAGCAAGAGCAGCAGAGAGCAGACAAGCGGCAGCGAGCAGTGAACACACGACCAACAACCAGCAACAGTCAACCCAAGACAGCCACGAGTCGCCAAGCCATATGTCTACCAGCACGCTGTGGGAGACTCCTCGCATCCAACCCCAGGAAGTAGCGCCGGGGAGCAAGCAAGACACCGCAGACAGAGCACGATATGAGGCCAGCAGGGGGCAGGAACACCTCCAGTACCAGCACCGCGCGCAGGAAAGGGGGGCGACGACGCCACAGGGGAGCATACACCGCCCCCGAAAACACAAACGGCAGAAAACCAACGCCCAAACCCAAACCCATGCCCACTGTGGCGGACGATGGCTCCGAGACGCACTGGAGCAGACTGACGACGGCTCAAGCTCCGGAGGACCAAACCAGCCCACGACCCGGACCCAGGCAGCCAGGGGGGGGGAACCTGGGCGTGCGATGTGGCACGTCTCATCCGCCCAGGGCTGGGAGCACGTGGACGGAGCAGTAGAGGCTGAGGCAAGGGCGGTGAGGGAAAGGGGGCACAGACGAGGGGCGTGCGCGTTGCCGGCAGCACCAAGAAACGCGCCAGCTCACGGAGCAGGTGGTAGCGGGCTGGCGGAAACAAACAACGCAGGGGAGAAGGGAAGACGTAGCGACGCTGCTCCACGTGACATGCCAAGCGGAAAGGTGGCTGGGGGGCATGGGAACTGCACGGGCTGGCAGAGGCGGGGATCGCTCGAGCAAGACGAGCAATGGAGGCAGCGGCGGGGGCAGGGGCGGGGCAAGCAGCGCAAGAACACATGCAGCGGGTCATCACTCACCTGGAAGAGTGCGTTGGAGGAGCAGCGTGTGTCCTGGAAGATAGGTGGATCCCACCGCCTCAAAACCCCCCGCAGACCCAACCAGCGAGCAGCAGCGCGGAGCCACCGCCGCAACCAATCCCACCAGCGCACCCAGCAGACGCCATCGCCCTCGCGAATGGCACCACCGAGGACGAAAACAGGGGACCGATGGGGGGACCGGGAGCACCGCAAGCCAGCCATCATCCGGTCCTGCAAGCAAGGGCAACGCCCTGTTGCTGGGGGAAGTGACAGAGGAGCTCTGGCAAGCATATCAAGCACTCCACGCCTGGGTGGTACAGATATGGGGGGAGGACATTGTAGAAGCCCGAGCCGGGGGAAAGGGGCACAAAAAGGGGCGGAGGAGGAGGAGTCAGCGGCCAGAGCAGCCAAAACAACCAAACAAGCAGCAGAAGTGGGAACAATAGAGAGGGGGCACGAGAATGAGGAGGGGGGAGGTAGGGAAGAAAACGAAGAAGAGACGACGATGGAGGGGAAGGACGACGAGGACACGGACATGGAGCGCCTCCTGGGAGACGAAGCTGTTCGAGGGCATGATCGTGATGATGGCGACCTGAAGAACGAGGCAAACGACGTGGCAGGGGCTGGGCGACTAGAAAGGGGGCCGACAAGTGGGCAAGAAGAGCCAGAGGCAGGGGGCACCGAAGAGATCGAAGAGACAGGGGAAACCCAACCGTGGACGCCGCCGTGGGCCCTGCCTCTGCCTGCAGCGCCGCAGACCGAGCTGAACAACATGGGGGGCTACATCGGGGACAAGAAGAAGTGAGAGAAGAAGATGGGGGGCCAGATGCCCACGAAGAATCGCCGTAGGTTACATGGGGCCTTCGGGGAGTGAACGTAAATGTAGTCCGGGAGCTGTGGGATAGGGTCCGAATGCTAGTTTCACGAAGGCCAACCCGGGACCGAACAACGGGGGCCGAAGCTGTTTTGCCCGCTCAGTCGCCAGAAGATTGTGGGGTATATAGTGCCTAGGATGGAACAGAGAGAGAGAGAGAGAGAGAGAGAGAGAGAGAGAGAGAGAGAGAGAGAGAGAGAGAGAGAGAGAGAGAGAGAGAGAGAGAGAGAGAGAGAGAGACAGAGAGAGAGAGAGAGAGAGAGAGAGAGAGAGAGAGAGAGAGAGAGAGAGACAGAGAGAGGGGTAGCCATTTTGGCTCAAGGCACGAGCGGCTCGAGCCCCAGCCCAGTGTCCGGGGGACAACTTTGAAAAGGGTCAGAGAGAGGAGAGAAGGGGGAGGCCGAAGAGTTGAAAGCTTCTCTGTCCCCCATCGCCCGTGCCCCGCCATACGAGCCCACCTACCTGTTTGCCGCACTACGCGGGGGCGCCGTGAAGGCCGGGGACCCCGAGACCGGAAGAACGCAGCGCGAGGTGACCGGCGCTGGCCGACTTCTCCGACTACCGCCGCTGAGGCGTGCGGGGGACATCCTGACCCACTACCTGACGGCCATCGGCGGCCTACGCGACGTGCTTGGCAAGGTGGGGACTCAGCACTTCGAGGGGCCCGCCAGGGACTTCAGAGTTCGTGACTTGGGCAGCGACACCGAGAAGGATAACTATGTCTGGTGGCAGTGGGGCGCCCGGAAGTGAGGGGGCATCACCCGCCAAGAGAAAGGTGATGGACCTTGAGCCGGAAGCAGAAGTTGAAGTGGTGGAAAAGGGGGGCTTCTCGCTCACCACCCTGCAAGCAACCCTCCAGACCGAGCTTCGTGCGAACCGAGCTGAGATTCGGGCCAACCAGGAGGGGGCCATCAGCACCATCCGCGAAGACATCAAGCAAGCTGTGGGGGGGGTGCAAAAAAGAGATGGTGGAGCGCGTCGCTACGGTGGAGACCGAAGTTACCCGCCAGCTTAAGACCACCCTACAGCTCCTCCAGGAACTCACGGCCAAGCAGGACAAGCACACGGCAGGGATCGAGGAGCTCATGGGGGGCCAGCATGATCTGGAGAGCAAAATGGGCGACATCACGGAGAGAGTGGAAAAGCTGGAGATGAAATCGGTCCAAAGCACCACCGCGACGGAGCACGGTGATGGGCTTGGGGGGCGTCGTGTCCCAGCACTCATCGTGGGGGGCTGGAATGATGACACCGCCGTGAGGGACGTCCTGGAGAAGGCGCAGCAAGCGTTGCGTTTGCTCAAAGTCGACATCGACTACCAGGACATGTTCGTTCCGGGGGTCCGGAGGGGCTTCGGGCTCATTCCCCTCAAGGGGCCGAGAGCCGGAGAAAGTGATGAGGGACACCGGCAACGCATTCAGGAAGCCATCACCAAAGTCCGCAACGCCAAGATGCAGACGGAGCGTGTGAGAGAGGACACGGGGCAACCGCGATACATGTTCCTTGCAATCTCGCAACCGCCAGAACGACGACGCCGCGCCAAGCTTGCAGCCAAGGTGAAGAGATGCATCCTGGAGCTAGGAGGGGAGCATGCCCACCTGGAGGCGGAGCTGCGACAGGGACTGTGTGGTACAAGGGGCTCCGTGTGTCGTCGGCAGCTGGCCCAACGAAAGAGGGGGCGACCGAGGCAGGACCGGATGGGTCGACGCCAAAGCAATGGCCAAGGGGCTCAAGATCCTTCCGGACAGGGCGCAACAGCAGCCAGCCTGCGCTGACGAAGAATGGGGAAGAAGAGCGCTTGGTTTCACCTTGATGGCGGGGGAGAACATTCCCATCGCCCAGCGCTGACATTGCTCACCTGGAACACTGGAAGGGCCGGGGGGCGAAAGATCCTCGACACCCTCCAGATGCTCGCGGAGGCGGTCGTGGCCCTCCAAGAGGTGATCCGTGACCCAGGGGCCCACATGGAGAGTTCAAAAAGCTGGACACTCATCATGGGCAAGACAGAAACTGAGTGGAGAGGGACAGGCATAGCGTACACCACCACGCACTACCACCACACCCACGCTCAACATCTAGAAGGGGCAACCTCAGTGGTCCTAAGAGGGGGTGACCTGCAGGACAAGAACTCCTGAACCTGCCTGAAGAGCATAGGCGTAGGCGAGAGCACGCGGGGCTTGAGTGATATCGAACTGAAGGGGGTGTGGGTGTACATCTTTTGTGTAAGCATGCCCGTGCACACCAAAGCCCTTGCGACACAGCTGTCTCACCCTTGCAGTGGTCAGGGGAGAACCCAGGGATTTCCCTTGTGGGGGAGGGGAGGACTTCGGGAGGTTTGCCAGTTTCGGGGGTGTTGGGGCAGAGGTTGCGCTTTGTTGGGGGTGAAACTAGGCCAGTGTTAGTGGCTCCCACGGGGAACGATGGGAAACTGACCACCAAGGGTTTCACGCTAGGTCCGGGGGCCAGGAAGCACTGCCGATGGGGGGATGGGGGGGGCCAAGGAGCACATGTGTGGGGGGGGGAGCGAAGAAGTCGGCAGTGTGCACCCGGGCGCCAGACAACACCAGCAACCACCCCGAAAACAGGGGCGGGCAAAGATGCCCGGGGCGCCGACCCCATGCCCCTAGAAAGAAAGAAAGAAAGTGAGACAGAGAGAGAGAGGGAGAAAGAGAGCGAAAGAGAGGAGAGAGAGAGAGAGAGAGAGAGAGAGAGAGGAGGGTGCCATTTCCAATACTTGTTCACCACTGGTGACCTTCGACAACAACCTGACGTGCCCTGAAAACAGGGGCGGGCGAACTCGCCCGGGGCATGACCCCAAGCCCCACGAAAGAAAGAAAGAAAAACAGAAGAAAAAATAGCGAAAGCAGGATATAAGGAAAGCAAGAAATTGAGAAAGAAAGAGAAAGAAAGAACGAAAGAAAAGAGGAGAAGAGAAACTGTAAAGGTCGCCCAACCCACTGTCTGACTCTCGAAACGGTCGGTGCCCAATCGGTCACCTCCCGTAAGATGTTAGCAATGTAGGATACAGCGTTGCTGCACTGGCAAGAGAGGCGAGGAGAGGGGAGAGGGGAGGAGAGGCGAGGAGGCGAGACGAGGAGAAGAGAGGAGGGCAGAGGAGAGGGGAGAGGAGAGGGGAGAGGAGAGGGGGAGAGGAGCGGGGAAGAGGAGCTGTGTGCAGTGAGTGTGCAGGACATCAAGTCTCACCTGGACTTCTTGGTGTGGGATCTGATCTCAGCTCGTGAACCAGTTTGGCCCTGATCACACGCCTGCTTAGCTCAGGAGCGCTACAACGAAACCCACGGATGCAACGATATTTGGGGAACCGCCGAGCGTTGCTTCAAGAACTGCGATGGCCATGTCATGGAGATCCAGGATCTCGTCCCTAGCGGCACGCAGTGTAAACGTTTTGCACTGATTGTGTGTTTGCACATCTTTGATCTCAAAACTCCCCTTTTCAATTCACTTGAACCAGAGCTTCACTGCCTCTCAGGTGCCACACAAATCTACTGATATCCCAGGACAAGCTGCAGCAGTTGCACGATGTTTGCATGATGTTGCATGGACTCTCCACCACACACCGAATTCAGCTCTTTCGAGCACGAAGCATAAGTAAAAGCCATCAAAGACACGTGTCGCAGTCAAGCCATGCAAGTTTGTAGATGATTCGGCGGTGATATTTACGCAAGACAGCTGCTTGACAAGAGTGTGCTCAACACAGCACAGAAAAGGGGAACCCAGTTCGTTGTTCCCGACAATAATGCAGACATCATGAAGTTATGCATGATGAAAGAACGCCACACTGGTGTTAGTAGTAGAGTCGGCCCATACTCAGCATATTCCCAGAGCAGAGTGGGCTGATTTTATCATTGAGCTTCAGTCTTCAGTGTGCACCCCGAAAGTAACATTAACCTCGGGAGCCCATTGAGCCACAGAAGATCACAGCGTGGATCAGTGTCCATTGCGGTGGTGTAAGAGATGTTTGGTGAGATTGTAGCCCACTCCATGACATGTACCCTCAAGGGCAGGAAAGCGCACATCGGCTATGTTGTCCATGATGGTGTAGTGCATTAGTGCTTCAATGGACCAACAAGCATGGTCGCCCTGTCTTGACATCTTGGCAATTGCATGCACTGGGGCATGACAATTTGACAAACCCGTGGCCAGATGTCAGATGTCGTCAGATGTCATCAGATGTAGTACAAGATGTAGTCAGATGTCAGTGCAACTCCGGCAGTGTCACAATTGGCAGGCTGCTGCGCTCCACGCACCCAGGCCGAGGATGCCAAGTGCCAGGCGAGGGGGCCGCAAGAAAAAAGGCCCAAAAGGCTCAAAAGGCTCAAAAAACCAGACGTTTGAAATGTTGATTTCAAAGCAAGAAACTCCAAAACATCCATGCTTCAAGATCCAGGAGCTCAAGTCACAGCGCGTGGCTTGGCAGACCTACGACCAGTGCCGGGGGGCTCGGACTGTCAGAGCCTTTTTGCTCTTGCGACTTTCTCAGAATCTAACCAAAACCTTATCTACGCTGGGCGACTCTACGGTCGAGGTGTGGACAAGGGGGCACACGATTTGGACAAGGGATGCGAACGCGATACCTGGTTGAGGGGCAGAGGGCGGGGCGCAGGCGCAGACAAGGGGGAGCGCCGGAGGAGCGCGATATCCCTTTGACGGGGGGAGAGCATGGTCCCGAAAATTCCTCCAAGCACTTCAGCAAGATCCCAAGATTGCATCACTTAACATTTCATTAGTTGAATTTCACCCTCCCAGCCTGCAATCCTAGCTTGCTCTGTTCTTTCTGTGAGGCCCATCACCTAAAAGTTCTGGGATACAGACCACCTAGCCGGACTAAACTGTTGGAGTCATGCCAGGATTCTTCCAAGTGCCATTTAGGCATTATCAGTCGCTGAGTGCGAAAAAGGTGTTCCATGGTGTTGCGAGGCTATGACTCAGCCTTGCCGCAGTGGGAAACCACCAAGGACTGTGTCGAAAAGTTCATCATGTTTGCAAGTGTGCCACAGTTTTTCTAACCTCAGAAATGTGGTGACCAGCAGTGTTGGTACCCCGTTCACCACCCAGTCCTTTTGTGGCAGGGAGAGCAGCTGGCAGAGGCCGACTCTCGCAAGGCCCACTGCCAAGCAATCAGCATGGCATGAGGCTGCTCAAAGCAACTTTTGCGGAGATGGTTCATGATGAAGAGCTGACCAGCAATGCTGCGAAAAGAAATTTACAGATGCGTTTCCGAATTTCACTCGAGTAGCCATGTACTATAGCCTTTTGAATACTGAGACAAGATGGCCCCTCTGCGAAGGCGCAGATGCGATCCATCATGAGGATGCTTTGCTACGTGAACCTTGGCTAGATGGCAGAGAAGAAAGCACGACCTTGTCGGCTCTCCAAGGTCACATGTATTTTGGCACCATCCGCTCTTGAACAGCTCAACACGTGCTAGAAACAGCTGACTCAGGAGTTCCTTCGGTCCGAACCAGGCTACGCTGCTGACGCAGTGTACCCTTGCTACAACCGCAACCCGCAACGCCGCACATGTCTTTACCATTACAAGCTGTGACAATGGTTTTCCGAGGTATGGAGAAGGACTTCACGATGGAGCCAGATGTGTTGGCTATGAGCCTTGTGCCAGGCTTTCGCTAGCAACTCAAACACTAACAACAAGAGTTTTGACTGATCACACATGCGCCACGATTCGTTGTCGTGTTTTGCTCACTTTGCCCACTGCTCAGACCAGTTGCAAGCCGTGCTAGGCAGCCCGGAGACGAAACTTGATGCGTTCAGCTGCAACTCAAGTGCCTGAGCTGCTGATGTTAACATGCTGTTTGTTTCTTGGGTGAAGTGTTCTTCTGCTTCGAAGTCTGGAAAGGGGCAGCAAATGTGCGCTTGTTGCATGGTATCCGCTTTGCAGAAAGTTCTGGCCTTATCATCGAGAATTGGACACTGCCCTCAGTACGGTATGTACACCATCAGCATGTAAGGGGCTACTAGAACACATTTGGGAACTTGCTGAAGCATGGCACTTGGCCGTGTTAGCCGCCTAGAAGTCAGAAGAGTGGTTGAGATTGCGACCGTTATTTCTGGTCACTGCTCCCATATGCTTGTCAATATATGTGCAGTCTCAGTCGAAGTCAGTGCAGAGTCCCCCGGCGGCCAGGGGCAGTTCCAGCCTTTCTAGGTCAATGCAAAGCTTGAACAGGCGAGACCCCTGGCACCGCCGACTTCGACGCAGCTCACTATGGCTCCTTGCATCAACTCTGATGCTTCTGATACCGTTGACGGTAGCGCAGCAAAATTTGTGAGCCTCTGATGCTGAGTTCTCCGCATTCAGGAGTCCAAGCTTCGACCACCCAGCTTTGCACATCATGCTTAATGTTTTTCCACCGATTTACATTCAAGTCATAAAACAAGCAAACTCTCACTCATGCCGGGTCAACGTCATGCTGCACATCGCCTGATGCAAACTTTTTTCTTGTAGGCCAGTTTACGCGATAGTGCGATTTCATCTACTGTGTCATGCGGGTCATCGCATGCATTTGCATCTGATGAGTTTTTGGTCGCCCTCAGCTCGTACGGTGCGATAAAGCTTGGACTCAAGCCTCATAGAGGAGCTAGGGAAATGCATTTGCCCAACAAAGCCGTGGCCAACCCTCCAACATCCCCCTAACTCTGCGCCTCATGATGTTGCAATCTCAACTTGCAGTTGCTTTTGTAGCTTCTGTCGCAGTGGCAGTGCAGGCAGCCTCCCGACCGGGCTTGCAGCCTGCCCAGCGCTGCACTGCGAGGTGGAGGGGTCATTCCAGCCATAGGGTCAGAGGCTTTTCCATAAACAGCTTGCAAATCGACACCAGCAGATTTTCAGACAGGGTGAAGAATCGTGTGCGAAGATCCATGATTGTTGTCGGCGATGCTGCAATGATGTCAAGTAGCCCTGTGCAGCTTTGAGACACAAGCGGCAGATGTTGTCCCTGGAAGCCAGGAAGCTTGCAACGGCGAGGTCAATGTGTCTTCCATGCGGATTCTCGAAGCCACCACAGTGCTTGGACTGCACTTAGTCTTCACTCTCGGTCCGACAACCTGAATGTCGCTGTTGCTCTTGTTGACTGGCAAACACGGTGCGGTGTGCTTGCCATCATGAATCTCATGAGAAACCCCATGGGTTGGTAACAGCTCGCTGGGTCCTGCTTCCCCTAAGTCAGGGCCTGAGTGAATGCTTCGGCTAGCGTCCCCGCATGGTGTTCATGCCAGTCGCGCACTTGCCACCCAGCTAAATGCACAGCGGGAATACCTCTAGTGATAATATGTTGGAAAGCAAACCTCTATCTCCTGTATGCCACCAGAGAGACAAAAAAGCTCTAGTTCCTTGACGTTTCAACATGAAAGCCTCCTTTTCCTTTATGTTTTCATAAGAAACCCTGTATTTCACCTTCATAGGGCTCTTACATATCCTCTTTAAGCTCATAGTAACACCCTTGTTTCGTCTAGGTTTTGGTAGAAAACCTCTATTTACTCTTTATGTGGTTAAGTTCCTTTACACTTTTGTAGGTGAAGCTTTGTTTCGCCGATGTCTCAGGCGGAAGATTTCTTAAAACGTTTACGTCTCGCATAAATTTTGTAGAAGAACCTCGACGTCCTCCCTTCACTATCGTGAAGCCTGTATTTCTTTTGCAGTACAGCTTGCAAGCAGTTTCAAACACAGCTGCCACGAAATGAATGTGGGCTGTGGTACAGTATACTTGGGCTTCGCACAACTCCTGTGATATGCCAACTTGCACCGTAACCAAACGTTAAGTCCAGTGACAGGTCATTGGTTTTCTTAGTGTCGCTGAGCAAAAGCTGACCCTTAATACGATATCTGAGGAGCCTCCTTTGCCTATGACCACCGTGTTGTACTCAGTTGGCCCGCCATAGCTACATTGGGGTTTGAAGCTATCAAAGCCAAGCTGGCACCTTATGTGCGTCCGCGACTGGCTTGCCAGAACACAACCTGAAATGACATTGACGCCAATGGCTCTGCAGGCCTCGACCAAGTGTTTCAAGAAGGCAGGTGGCGCCGACGCTGTCTATTGGGACCTCGGCTCTGAGCAAGCCGCCCGAGACTGAGAGGGAGCTTCGCGATGCACGCAGCTGCCAAGCATGCAAATTTGAGCTGCTTCGAACAAGATGGGCGGTGGTCGGAGTCCCTTGGGTTTGGTCCGGTTGTCACGGCCCCGTCAAGGCTCAGAACCATAGAAAGAGGAGAACCAAAGCGATTGCCGAGGTTGGCACTGTGTCTGCCGACCCTTCAGACGACGTTTCTAACATCAAGGCGGCCAGATTTCTGTCTTTTTGTGGCTGCTTTGCCTGCAGGCAGGCCAGATGAAGCAATGTACTTGGTAGTGGAGTTTCTTAATGTGGTTCTTAACATATGGTACTCCACTGGATGCAATGACGAGCTTCCTGCATGAGCCGGAGCTACTTCGTTAGACCTGATCGCAGATGCTCGCAGGTGTATCTCACAAACTCGGAGCATGGCACTGTTCTGCCCACAACGGAGTGGCTTGTCTGCCGGCAAAGGTGGTGTAGCCCTAGCTCTCTGTGTCTCTCCTCCTCCTCCTCCTCCCCCTCCTCCTCCTCCTCCCCCCCCTCCCGCTCTCTCCTCTCTCTCCTTCCTCTCTCTCCTCTCTCTCCTCTCTCTCCTCTCTCTCCTCTCTCTCTCCTCTCTCTCCTCTCTCTCCTCTCTCTCTCCCTCTCTCCCTCTCTCCCTCTCTCCCTCTCTCCCTCTCTCCCTCTCTCCCTCTCTCCCTCTCTC